TACTAAAGAAAGGCTCTGCCTGAGAATGTAAGATATCTTGACATGGCAGATTTGCAAATAAAATATTGTGTAGTCATGGCACATTCTATACTGCTCTTGTGCAATTTCTGGAAGCTTGCTTTATTTCTGGTCAGAGAGATGAGTTAAGTGATTTGGGCAGCATAATAAAATTTGTGTGCGTCGCCAAGATACAACCACAGTACTGAATTAATATCCTGCTACTGTCCCAACATGCTTTGACAAGGATGCTATTTCATGGCTCAATAAATACTTGTTGACTAACTACAGACATGACAAAAATGTTTGTCCTTCAACTCAACTGTTTTAGGACTGAACATTCAAGGACTCTGAAAAAAGCCCAGGAATGTTGTAAGACTTTTAAAACCACTTTTATTTTCATTTTGCAAGCTCACTAAACTTGCAAAAGGGCAGAACAGAAATATACTGTTGGATAAACTCCTAGGAAACTATAAGGTTTTAAAGCAAAATTTTCTCTATAAGCGGCTTTGTTCAATATAAGATGTAAAAAGCGCAAAGGAGAAGTAGATATTAATTTCATTAGATGTGCTCTGTGTCTCAATGATCAAGTTGGTGGCTTACAAAAAAAATCATGTTCTGTGGTCCTCTCAAGAAATTTCACTGAATGGCCGGGTGCGGCGGCTCACGCCTGTAATCTCAGCACTTCGGGAGTCCAAGGCAGGCGGATCACGAGGTCAGGAGATCAAGACCACCCTGGCTAACATGACGAAACCCCATCTCTACTAAAAATACAAAAAATCAGCTGGGCGTGGTGGCATGCACCTGTAGTCCCAGCTACTCGGGAGGCTGAGGCAGGAGAATCGCTTGAATCCTGGAGGCGGAGGTTGCAGTGAGCCGAGATTGCCCCATTGCACTCCAGCCTGGGCGACAGAGTGAGACTCTGTCTCAAAAGAAAAGAAAAGAAAAAGAAATGTTAGTGAATCAGCTGGGCTTGTGCCTTAGTCAGAGCAGCCACCAGCAATTAATGAACATGGTCTTTCTTTGTTCCAATTCAAGGAGGACACTGTGTTACCCCGCAGGGTGGACCAGCATATAGCAGATAGGTTAGGCCAAGGTTAAGTTACACTCTTTACAAATGCAAACTTTTTTTTTTTTTTTTTTTTTGAGACAGAAGCTCTGTCACCCAGGCTGGAGGTCAGTGGTGTGATCTCAGCTCACTGCAGCCTCCTCCTCCTGAGTTCAGGTGATTCCCCTGCCTCAGCCTTCCGAGTAGCTGGGATTAAAGGCATGTACCACCACACCCAGCTAATTTTTGTATTTTTAATAGAGATGTTGCCCAGGCTGGTCTTACACCACAGCTTCCCTAAGTGCTGGGATTATAGGCATGAGCCACTGTGCACGGCCACAGATACATTTAAGGCATTGGTTATCTATTTTTCTCTAAAAAATTTTACCTTAACCAGCAGTGTCATGGGCAAAGCATAACCCTTAAAGATCAGTAAGTGGATCCTATATTGGAAAAATCAATATACAGAACCTTTCCTACGAGCTAAGCTTTGTTTGATCAGGCTATTCCTAGGTATCAGGACACTGGCGAAGTCCTGCCAAAATAAAGCTCTTATCCCATTATATGTAGGCCCAATCAGTTACAGTAACCAGAGAAGTGTTCATGCTTGATCCATTTTTTATTCAATAAACTGTGTTTTTCTTTTTTGTGCATATGCAGGCAACTTGAGAAGTGTTTCTTTAAATTTTTTTTTTTTACTTTGCAATATAATTTTTAAATTAAAAAGGTATTTTGATTAGTGAGGTTTTTTTAAATAGTTTTTTTTGTTTGTTTGTTTGTTTGTTTGTTTTTTTAATAGAGACAGGGTATCACTCTGTCACCCAGGCTGGAGGGCAGTGGCATGATCATAGCTCACTGCATCTTTGAATTCCTGGACACAAGCTATCTTCCCTCCTCAGCCTCCTGAAGTAGCTGGGAGTACAGGCACGAGCCATCATTCCCAGCAATATTTTTATTCATCAACTGTTCTGGGACCAAATTTGTAAATCTATCACAAAAGATTATTCAATGTAGCAGTACTATTGTGATAGAAGAATGTTGAATTTAGAAATAATATTGCTCTCTTTCTCATTTCCTGAATATTTAGTATGTGCATATGTATATTTATGTCCAAATATTGTGGTCTAACCAAAGAGCACCCCAGGACTTGGCCCTTGGCCCCTCCCCCTTATCTATAATCTCTCCCTAAGTAGCTCCACCCAATTCCAAAGTTTTATAGCGTAGTCATATGCCAGTAATTCCCACATTATAGCTCTGGCTTTGACTTGCCTACAAAGCCGATACTTATGCATCCAATTCTTTGACTTTTACTTTTGGATGCCTAGTAGGCATTCCAAAGCTAACGGAACCAACAGAGAACCTTTCAGTCCTTTTCTCTCCCACGCACATCTGTCAGTTATCCACATCTCAGCCAACGTTGCTACACTCCATGTGGCTGCTCAGACCAAAAATCTGGCTGGGCGTGGTAGCTCATACCTGTCATCCCAGCGCCTTGGGAGGCGGAGGTGGGAACACTGAGCCCAGGAGTTTGAGACCAGCCTGGCCTGGGCAACATGGAGAAACCCCATCTCTACAAAAATACAAAAATTAGCTAGGGGTGGTCACGCAAGCCTGTAGTCCCAGCTACTTGGAAGGCTGATGTGGGGGGATGCTTGAGCCTCCAAGGTTGAGGCTGCAATGAGCCATGATTCCACCACTGCACTCCAGCCTGCACAACAGAATGAAAACTGTTTAAAAAAAAAAAAAAAATCTAGGACTCTCCCTAGCTTCCAACAACCAACCTGTGAGCATTGTCTCTATTTCAAGACATACTCCAAATCTGTTCCTTTCTCTCCATTTCTATCACTATCACCCTAGTCCATGTCACTGTTTATCTTTCACCTAGACCACCACCAGTAGTATTTATTCAGGTCTTGTCACTCCTCTGCTTCAAGCCCTTTGTTCTTATCTCCTGTAGAACCAAAGCAAAACTTCTTGCCCTGGCAACAAAGCCTAACCTTATCTTACAACCTGACCCTCTGTCTAGGTTTCTGACATCCACCCCTACCACCTATTTCATTATTTTCCAGGCACCACTGATCTTTTTTTTTCTGTCCCTGTGATCCGACAAGTTCCTCTGACCTCATTTAAGCAAAACTTTCCTTAGGGCTTAGAATATAACCCTGTATTAGCCCCAGAATTCTGCAAGTGATTATGTGGGAATTAAGGTAAGTCAGTGGTTCTCAACCTGGAGTGCACAGTGAAATCTTCTGCAGCGCTTTTAAAAATATGGATACCCAGACCCCAGCTGAATTGAATCAGAATCTTTGGGAGGAGGCCAGAGATGATTCAGTACTTCTGAAAGGTTCCAAATGAGTCTACGTGGCTAAGGTTGGCAACTCCGATACAAGACATGTGCTCTTCTCTATTTTTAATTGTATATTTTCTTGACTTAGATGTTTTTTGCTGTTGTTAATATAAATAGCATCTAAATGTAGTCTCATCTCAAAAGATGTTTAAAAAACAAACACACACAAAAAAAACCCTGACAGAATAGAATGGTCTATTTTTCACAGAAAAGTGATGATAAAATGGATATAAAATACATGAAAAGGATTAGCTAGTATCATCCTGTACTTTTGATATTATGGAAAATATTTAAGTTTTAATAAGGAATTTTTTGTGGCTCATATGTTATACTTAACCTTGCTTTGCATTGAAGTCCCAATCTTGTGTTTATATCACTTCACAGGATGCTACTGTTGACTTTGAGAATGAACGAACCTGTTTTAACACGACAAGAACTCACGGAAATTTGGTGGAATTAATGTTTCTAACAAAACTTGAACTTTTCACTGTTTTAAGTCAGAATATTTTTGGCAGCAGTAGAACTTCCTGTGTCTATAAGAAATGATTTAAAATGAGACTATAAAAAAGATCAAAAGACTTAGACATCAATTAGCTCACAGGCTACCTAAATATTGTTATATGAGTATAATGGAATCAAACATATGGATTACATTTCCATTAAAATACAGTAGGGTTTTAAAGCAGAGGAGCAGAAAGCTTTAGAAAAGTCATTTGAATGTTCTTAGACTTTTACAGCTAAAAAGTAATTCAAGCTGCTTACAAACACCAAAAGCTAAAGGGTATGCTTCTGCCTAAAGAATTTAACAATGCCATAAAAGTACAGAATTGTCACCAGCAATGGTTGATTAGGGAACTGGGGAAGCCAAAATAACCTGTCACTCTCCCACTTTGAAGAAACCTGCTGTGCATGTAGGGTTTACAACAGCATCTCATTCTTGTAGCTCTCCCAAAGGTTGTGAGCACAATGAACCAAGGAGGGGCCCTGACAAGCTAGGTATATGGCTGTTTGTTTCAAATCTCTATAAGCCCATACACTAACGATTCCAATGGGATGATTAGAGGACAAGTTACTTTAGATAAACAGGGTTACCCTTGTTACTCCAGCAGGGAAGAAAGAGTACTTTTCGAATTCTTTTTGTTATTCCTTTGTAATTGAACTGCAAGTGACAGAGGGTCTTAGAAAGGATTTGGGGGTCCACAAGTCTCCACAAAGTCCAGGGAAGAGGTTGTGTGGTACCACAGGAAATAGGCACAGATGGCTTTTGACTTCTGATGACCTGAATTTGAATCCTGCTTTGAACACTAATAACTAAACAATTACCATCATTATTGTAATCATGGATACTGAGATGACAGTGAGAAAAACTTGCTGGGCCCCAGGAGGAGTAGAATTTTAGAAAATTAAGAAGTATGCATTGACAACAATTGCACAATCTAGTGGAAATCTAGCCACTGTCACAGAATTGGAAAGCCCAAGAGCTCCCAATATAACTTCTTATTTAACAATATCTCCTTTTCATGTTTTTGCAATGAAATTAATATATTCAAACATTATTCATATATTATCCTTACATTGGTTTCATTATTTGTGTCACTATGACCTACGTTAAGAAATGCTTTTTCCAGGCTATTTGTTCAAACAAAAAAAAAAGGTCTTGCTTTAGGGCTTCCTTGTTAGGAAGATTTCAGATTTGACCTGGCATTTGCTAAGGACAATCTTATAAACTTTTGTACCTGTGGTACCCAGCCTCCAAGTTGGCCCTCAATCGTCCCCACCTCCTGGTAGCCATATCTTGTGTAGTCAGTTCCCTCCCACATGATATGTCACTTCTGAGATCAGGTTATAAAGACTGCAATTTCTGTCTTGAGTGCATGCTCTTTTCTCTCGGATCTCTGCCATATTGTATGTCAGGTACACAAGGCAAGAGATTGAAGCTTCTAGCCAACAGCCAGAGAGAAACCAAGGCCTGCCAACACCTATGTGAGTGAGCTTGGAAGCAGATCCACCAACCTCAACCAAGCTTTCAACTGACTGCCACCCAGCTGACAGCTTGAAGTCCACCTTATGAGAGGCAAAGAGACAAAAGCACCCAGCTAACATCCTCAGGCCCCCAGAAACTCTAGGACAGTAATTGTTTGTTGCGTTTTTTTTTTTTAAGAAAAAGGAATACATTTTTCAAATATATATATTCCCCTCCTTCCTGAATATGGTCCCATGGCACAGAAACCCATAGGCTTCAACATGCTTAAATAGCTCTACTTCTTTTTGTTTTTCTGTTCAGTTGACAAGACAGCTTTTCATGAAGAGAAATAATAGTGAGTTAGAAAAAGGATTTCCTTCCTTGGGATGTAAAAAAGCAAAAGGGAGAATCAAATGCCTTCAGAATGCCCTAGATAGCAAATACAAGTCTATTTATTTTTTATTTTATTTATGTATTTGTGTATTTATTTTTGAGTCTCACTCTGTTGCCTAGGCCGGAGTACAGTGGTGCAATCTCGACTCACTGCAACCTCCACCTTCTGGGTTCAAGTAGTTTTCCTGCCTCAGCCTCCAGAGTAGCTGGGACTACAGGTGCACACCACCATGCCAGGCTATTTTTTATTTTATTTTATTTTTTCTTAGTAGAGACAGGGTTTCACTATGTTAGCCTGTTAGCCAGGCTGGTTTTGAACTTCTGACCTCAGGTGCCCTTCCTGCTTCAATCTCCCAAAGTGCTGGGATTGTAGGCATGAGCCACTGTGACTGACTGCAAATACAAATTTGTTATAAAGCACTTTGAACACTGTTCCACTAAGTACAGTAAGAAGAAAATTTTAGGCAAGTTAAAAGAAGTTGCAGCACAAAACTTACCTGATTTTAAAAAATAAAGCAAGACGAAAAAAGCCAGTAACCTAATATCATCTCTTGACAGAACAGATGCCCTCTTGGGGAATATTCATATACAATTCTACACCACACAACATTATTTCAGTCAATCACGAATTGGACTGCATATATGACAGTGGTCCCATAAGCTTATAATGCCATGTTTTTACTGTACCTTTTCTTTTTTCTTTCTTTTTTTTTTGATGGAGTCTTGCTCTGTTGCCCAGGCTGGAGTTCAGTGGCGTGATCTTGGCTCACTGCAACCTCCACCGCCTGGGCTCAAGCAATTCTCCTGTCTCAGCTTCCTGAGTAGCTGGGACTAGGCACACACCACCACCCCCGGCTAATTTTTGAAAATTTTCTTAGTAGAGATGGGGTTTCACCATATATTGGTCAGGCTGATCTTGAACTTTTGACCTCAGGTGATCCACCCACCTCAGCCTCCCAAAGTGCTGGGATTATAGGTGTGAGCCACCACATCCGGCCTCTTTTTTCTTTTTTGAGACAGTCTGGCTCTGTTACCCAGGCTAGAGTACAGTAGCACAATCTCGGCTCACTGCAACCTCTGCCACCTGGGTTCAAATGATTCTCAAGCCTCAGCCTCCCGTGTAGTTGGGATTACACATTACTACCACATCTGGCTAATATTTTGTTTTGTTTTGTTTTTTAGTAGAGATGGGGTTTCACTATGTTGGCCAGGCTGGTCTCTAACTCCTGGCCTCAAGTGATCTGCCTGCCTTGGCCTCCAAAGTGCCGAGATTACAGGCATGAGCCACCATGCCTGGCTACTGTACCCTTTCTTTTTAGATGTGTTTAGATACACAAATACTTGCCGTTGTGTTACAATTGCCTACAGCATTTAGCACAGTAATATACTGTACAGGTTTGTAGCCTAGGAGAAATAGGCCACACCAAATAGCCTATTTGGTATGAAGGAGGCTATACCATCCAGGTTTGTGTAAATACATTCTATGATTTACACTTGATTCACTCAACCAATGAAATTACCTAACAATACATTTCTTAGACTATATCTTCATTATTAAGCGACGCATGACTATGATTGGTTATTCTGGTATTGTGAAACTGAACCATATAAAGAACGCTTTTACAAATGAAGAACATTTTCATCTAGAATTGATGCCAACATTAATAACTTAAGTATTTCAGTGTCTCATGGCCAAAGTTCCATATTTCAGCTACCTTAGCAAGAAAACCCAAGAAAATCAATTTGCATCTAAAAGCGCCTTCATGGAGTTGGCCTAGTTTTGTGGCAGGCATCCCAGCTTGCTTAGAGAAGCAGAAGTTGAAGTCTGCCTCACACAGGATTGTTTGGTCCCAGATGAATAACCTGCTGGCATCCACTGTGAACAGAGTGGTAAGCAGATTATGGGCAAGCAGATATTAATATTCTGATTGAACATTTTCAAGCCTCATATCGCTATTTTAAAAAATAATTGCACTACTCTTGAGAGCTCTCTTATATTTACCATTCTAAAACCACTTTTAGCCCTAACTTCTATATATTCACGATCTTAAAATCTCTATCTATAGTTTATTTCCCAGGATCAAAACGTTTTCCCTTCACCACCTTAACTGCAATGTAAAATTCATGTGAATATGACTTTCTTGGACAGCCTTAATTGTTTTAAGTATTTACATGACACTTTCTTCCTTCCCAGATCTCTCCTTGAAAAAGAGCTGCAGTCATCTTTGGTCTCAAGTTCTATAAAAACCCAGCACAGCTTGGCAGGCCTCCTGGAATGACTTCTTGTTTCCTGAGGACCCACTGATTTAACAAACTTAACAAACATAAATAACAGAAGCTATGAAAGAGACATTTTCAGGAAGCATTCTGAAGTTATGAAGCAACAAAAGTTTATTAGACCACAAAAATTTCTCTAGCACCATCCGTCATATAGAATATACAATTTAGCATGATCACAGGGAAAGTTATTAATTGTTATTAATTGAGGTCTACAGTGCACGTACAGGTTTCTAAACATCAACAGTCAAAAATTCTGGGTTACCACAATTTATTTCTGGGTCCAAACCAAAAAAGTCTGTTTATTTCTTGGGTGCACACTAAATGTGACTGCTGTGTTGGAGAGAAAATATGGAATGAACATTGTATGCTTACAACATTGAGTGTTGGAGTCATCCATAATCTCCAATTCTAATTTAGCTTGCTAGCGACCTTCTCTAAAGGTGCTGTAGACTCTGGGCATCTTCCCCAGAATGCTTTCAGGCTGATGAGGGATATGGGTGCACGGGATTAAGGGCAGAACACCTAGTAAACCACTTGCTTTACGGTTCAAATAAGGAAAAGAGGGAGGAGTTCAAAGAAGGTTAAATCTCCCACTTCACCAATGATGTCCGTTCCTTCTGCCTAGGCAACAGATCTTCTTCTCTAGAACTGTCTTCTGCCCATGTGGTGGTCACTGCCTAGCTCAAGACAGTCCTGGAGAGGACACAGAGGCAACAGATTCAGACACTTGCCTCAGGGTCCCCTCAGGGGTCCTTCCAGTCTTGCTTCCCCCAGTCTCTGAAGCATATTCCAGCAGCTAACATGTGGGGAAAGGAGGCCCTAAACCCTGCCCCGCCCAGGAACTGTGCTGTGGAGCCTGGCCATGTTCCCTTATTGGGGCAGGCATGAGGCAGTGACTAAAAGGTCCTAAAGCTTTCAGTGAGGGCTCTTGAGATAGCTGGACCGCTCACTGCCGTCTTAGCCTACAGAGAGAGGGCTCCATGGGGTAAGAACAGAAGCAGTGAGAGGCAGTGTGACACTGGAGGAGGTACTAAGGAGGGGGCGGCCTTCTGATCCAAGCAAGGATTCTTAAGGACCTCCTGACTCAAAACAACCACTTCCTCTCTTGCTCTGATTCGTGGACAGTGAAGTCCCAGAGGGAGGCCCTTCCTTATAACCTCAAAGGGAGGAAAGCCTGCTCACAGCTGGGCAGGGGCTGCGGGCAGCTACCGTCCACCTATCTCCCTTCACATCCTCTCCTGTACCCCCGAGCGGCTGGTCTAGGGCGCTTTGGACGTGCTGCTTGCCTTGCGTTCCACTCTCCCTCCCACGCACTGATTGGATGTGTCCCACTTGGAGAAGGCGAAGTTGGGGAGGGGCAGCCCTAGCGGATGGCCACTTGGTCTGGGCACTTAACTCACTTAGGGTGGAATGGGATGGCAATGGAGCAGGCGACAGCCTAGGCAAAAAGGTGGCCCAGGGGCAGCCCAGGTAACCCCTGTCCAGCGCCTGCCCGCAAGGAGCACCGGCTGGGCTGTCAGAGCGCACTCTCGGCAGGGAGCCCACACCCATCAGGGGGTGCGGCGGGCTAGCGCTAGGGCAGGCCGGGGAGGGTGGCGCCCACAGCCCGCTCGCCCCGGCCTTGGGCTCTGAAACCCATGCCCAGGATTCCAGGGCGGAGAAGGGCAGCGGGCCTGGGCGGGCTACTGCCGGCGTCTGCCTCCGCCCCCTGGGTCCCGGCGTCTCCGGGGCACTGACCTGCCAGTCGCCTCTCCCGGACGTTCTTCCACAGCAAATCCCAGGCTCTGGCCGTAGAGTCCCGCAAATGCTCACTGATGGATCTCCTGAGCTGCGTTTGGCAAGGTTTCCGTTTGCTGGTCATTTTAGATCCGTCCTCATAACGACCGGCTGGCTCGCCACCGCCACTCCCGCGTGGCCTGCGACTCAGACTCCTGGCGACTGGAGAGGACGGACGCGGCACTCCTGCCGGGGTCCCGGGACCCAACGCGGGTGTGACATGGGTGGGTCCCGCGCTGGGTGGCTGCGCCACGCGCGCGGACCGGGATGCCTGGCCACCAGGAGCGCCAAGCTAGGTTAACCTCTGCGCTCGCCAACTCCTCTACTCCTTTCCCACTTTCCCTTTCCTCCCCTCCTCCCCTCCGCTGGGCGCTCCTTCACTCCCCTCCCTCCCCTGCCCTCCCCCTGACTGCCTCGCGCCCCACTCGTTCAGGAGCATGCTTCCCCCTCCCTCTGTCGCCCAACCTGACAGCCTGGTCCCCAGGGCCCCCCACTCAAGGAGCTTCCAGCTTCTTTTCCAGTTTCACCCAGAAATCAGGGGCTGGACCATATTCCTCTTATTTCTTGATAGTTTCCTTTATTTTTCACTTTCAGAAACTGCCACCCTCACAACTACTACAACAACAAAAATTTATATATGCCACAGTGAGAGCATAACTCATCCCAGTTTCCCTGAATTCAAGTCACTTGAAGTCAGCTACTCTGTTTGGCTGACATTCTTTTGATGTTCAGTATTGGTGATCTGAACATTATGTTAATCCTTTCTGACTTCTTCCACGAAATAGTTATCTGGCTGCAAACTACAATCAAATTAATATGGTTTGAAGTGTCAAAATATTTATTTCCATTGCATAGGCATTATGAGGAGGAAAATAACTTTTAAATATTAAGGTCAAACCATGAGGAATCTACCTAAAATAGATGTATATACGTTGAGAAAGCATTACAATCTGTGTGCTGCTAAAGAAGTAGGTATTAGGAAGAAGTGAAATATGAAATACAAGAAATATGAAATATGAATACAAGAATTTTCAGGTATTTTAGCCAAAAACATAAAATAGGCTTGTAATTAGAAATTAACTCTGATTCCTGAAGGAAAGAAGGAAATGTATTGGCTCTGTAAGAAACACATCATCTCTGAAGTCCAAGTCCACTTCCTGGGCTTCAACTCATTCATAAGGAGAAGACAATACTATCTCAGGCCTCAGGGTGTCCTGCAATTCACAAAGTTCTGCTTCTGAATTGCTTTGAGGTCTTCCAAGAAAATGACTGTGACGACATTTAATTAATTCAGAGTTGTGATTAATGCCTTACACCTCAGGTTTGAGGAAGGGAACAAATTTTTTCAAATGGAATTTCTGTATTCTTGAATCTGCAAAATTGCTTGAATCCCATTTCTTTTTAAATGTCTTTGTACTAGGCTGCCAAATAATAACCAAAATGTAATCAGATATTCTAATTTCAGGTGCTCCACAGGAAGTTTGAAAATTAAAAGTATTCAGTCCTTCCTCTATGTATATAAATTGCTACTGACTTAGGGAATGGAAACCAACAGTTACCTAAAATATTTCCTCTACATTTCTGCTACACTTCTAGTAAATATTCCCTCCATCAGTTTATCTTGTTGATAGAAAACAGGAATGACAGGGATGATGGTTAAAAAAAAAAAAAAGTCTTTAGTCTTATTTTGTTACTTTAAATATTTTAAAATGTTAACTAGTGAAACATACGTCAGAATAAGCTAGAAAGTAATGAGATACTTTTTTTTGTACCATCCTGGCAAACCTTTGAAATAGTCAGTTATGAAGCAATAGGTTATGGATCAGAAATGGACTTGAAACTATGGCAGTCAGTTACAGACTAATCCAGATTGCTTTCTGGACCCAAGCCAAGTACCCTTTTGATTCCATCCTCTGCTTTGTATGCATGTAGAGGTAACAAAATGCTCTGCAAAGAACAAGATTCCTGTTATCTTAAAGTGTCTGCTATACAGTGTAACAACAGAATGTTTAACAATTACATTCCCAGGGAAGCTGTGTATTTGACTTTTAGAAGGGACCTCTTATTGAATAAAACAGAAGCCATAGTTTTAACATTATATACGTGGGAACAGAACAGAACCATTCAAGCTATTTCAGTGATCATTTAGCTTTCAAGAGCCTGGGCCCCTACTACTTTCTATTCTAACACGTATTTTATATTCAGATGCCATCGATTAGGGGTTTTCCGTAAGTGACTAATTTGAAGACTAAATTCTGGCATTGCACATGTGTTTAGTTCTGGCTGTCGGATGGCCCATGAATTGAGAACTGTCCAAGAGAAGCCAGACGAAAGACGAAAATGATCTGCTCAGAACAGGTGCCGCCTGAGCAGTGTGTGCCACCCAGCATAGCCCAGCTCTCCGCCAGCCCTGGCTGCTGGCCCTGTTGGAAGAAGCCACACAGCTGTGCAGATGGAGCCACCACAAACGCCAAGAGTTCTAACCTCAACAGGAACCTCAGGGCTACTTGGAGTCATCTGTACAGCATTCACTCTCATTCTCCCCAGTATCTGTTACAAAGCTGAACCTTAGGTAGAATCCCCTCTGGGGACTTCGCCAGATGAAAATATCACCTACTTCAGAGGAAAGAACGCAGGTAACCCCCCGGCCCTACCTCCCTTCTTGCTTACTCCCTTCCCTCCCATTGTAGCAGAAGAGGTGCTGCTCTTCCTGCCTGAGACCCTGTCCTCCACCTGTGCTGGGCTTCCTTTCCCTTCTTGTTGTGACATGGATTTTGCTACATTGGTTATTTCCTCTCCCTCACAGACCCACTATCTCTCCCTCTCCATAGGCTCAACCCTCCAGCCTCACCCTTCTTTTAAACAAACCAAAATTAAAACAACAGCAGCCATTCTAAAAAGTACTGCCTCTACGCTGTGTCCCTGGGAAGAGAAGTCTTTCCTTGTCAACACTGCAATCTGGGCTTCCTCCCTTCCTCAGTGAACATGATCTTGCCAAGGTCACCAGTAATCATCTGGTTGCTAAATCTAACAGACATGTTCTAGTTATTGTTGTCCTTTCCAGGGCGCATGGACCATCCGATGCTGCTGCCCATTTCCTTCCTCTGACACAGGCTTGTCTCGTGGCTATCAGGCGACACCCTCCCCTGGGTTCCTCCTTTTCACGGGAGGCCTCACATGGTCCTTCTCAAGGCCTGACGGGCTATAGATAGAAAGTGTATGTGGTAAGCGTGTGACTAAAGACAGAGTCCTGTTTGATCCTGTGTATGTTTCTGTTTCTCAATAGTACCTCCCCAGACGATTGCATTCTGGATTAAATGAAATAATCCATTTGGCACATAGAAGGACCTAATCTATGCTCCGAACAACAATAATATTATAATTACATTACAGTCCTAGCCCAAATCTAACCTGAGCCGTTTCAAAAAGCCTTCTCTGACACCCAACCTAAATAGCCCCATTACTCCTTCTCATGGCATTCAGTTTAGTTTTCCTCATAGCACTTCCACTTCCACACATTGTGTGTGTTTGTTTGTGGTCGGTCTCCCAGGCAGGTTGCGAGCGCCATAAAAGCTGAGGCCCTGCCTATCTTACTTGCTTGTGCATCCTCAGTGCCTAAAACAGTCCCAGACAGTCATGATCAGTAAATACTTGCAAAATAAATGAATGATTCTGCTTTAGGGTCATGTATTGTTTACCTTCCTGATGGCTATCTCCAAAACTTTCCTTCCAAATCTGCTTTTTCATCTCTATTTCCTATGCCAGCCACCTGGTGCTACCACCCATCTAGTGACAGAGAGAAATCTAGAAGACATCTGAAACTCCTCCATACATCTTATGTAGCTTCGATCTTTCCCCGACCTCTCCATCCCCTGAGTAACTGATTTAGTTCAGTTTTTCTCTTTCCCTTCCCTGAATTTCAGCATAAAAAGAGTCCCATTTGAAAGCTCTTGCTCCCACTGCACTCTTTGTCTTTATATATTAGTTCTGCTTGAATGCCCTTACCCTAATTTTTTTTCCCTTCATTCATCCTTCAAGATTCAACTCAGAAGTACTCAGTGTCATCTCCTCCTTCAGCCTTCTACAAATCCCAATGGCTGGATGAGTTCCTCTTCCACTGTGTTTCTGCCATGCCTTGGGGTTACTGCCAGAGGAGCACTTATCAAAGAGCCAAAATCTAAGTGTCCTTACCTGTTTCTTCTCAGCTGTCCCTGCAGTCCTGAGTTCCCCCAGCTAGGACTAGTACAGGGCTTTTATTTCTCAATCCCTTGTGCCTTTTCAGTGAACCACACATAGTAGGAGTAGGACTGTTTACAGACTGAATGACTATTCCTATAGTTTTAGATGGCTGGTTACCATTAGGATCTGCTTCTTAGTACAAGTGTACATTTTAAGGAAGCTAATGGTGATGTTGCTTCATCGTCATTAATTATCACTCTTTTCTTATATAATGTTTATTAATTTTAAAAATAGAGGTAATACATACTGATAATTATAGTTTTTAAACACATAAAAATCATAAAACATTAAAAGTACCTGCAATATTACCAAAAAGAGAACTGATAACATTTGAAAATTTTCCTTTTCTATTTTTTCCTTGCATATTAAAAAAAATTGAATGAATTTTTAGACCAAGTTTTTATTTTACTAAGCAGTAGATTGTGAGCATTTTTCCAGTTTGTTTTCTTTTAAAATATAGTTTTTAATGACTATATAAAATTCTGTTGGGTAAACACACTATAATTTATTTTAAAGCTTTCACAATTTTGGACATTTTTCTCCAAATTTCTAAAATTACAAATAATCCTGTGATAAATAACTTTGACAAATGAAAAAATATATATATTTTTTTCTCCTTCTCTTACTGCTATGTAATAAGACCCATCACCATTGTCTCTCACAACCAAAGGCAATAGGCAGGACTTGCCACCCACCACCTACACAGCTGAATGGCAACAGCTCTGCAATTCCATTTCATTTTTATCCCTTCCATTTCCCTCTTCTGTTCAACTCTGATTCTGTGCCATCACCCCCTACTGAAGAGTGGAGAAGCACATTCCACTGTCTGCTTGCTGCGGTAATTTTTTGTTGGAAGCCTTTGCTTGAGAATAAAGCCCAGTTTCTAACTACACCAGGCCAGGAATCCTTCGCCAAGAGCCCATAGTCGTGGTACATTATTTCATGTTGCTTGCAACTTTGCTATGGGGAAATGCCTTCCTTGAGGAGACCCATTTTCCTTTGCTGCAGGATAGAAGGGTGAAGAGCTCTTGCAGCTCTTTCCCTGCATATCCCCTTCCCAAGAGAGATGGGGTGTAGCAACTATTCCTTTGGTGTATCCTTCAGGCTCCAATTCAAGATCCTGTTGCTGGAGGTTCTGAAATGCAATCTCATATTGTTTATTTCCTCATTTAAAAAATGTTGCTGAAGGTTCTGGAGAAGCCGACTTTTCAAGCTGGGTCCTTGGATCACAGTCACCAATCTGTGCCTGCCCTGACTGGCCTATCCGTGTGTCCCATTGCCATGCTCTGAATCTGCCAGTGTTTGAATGCTAACAATTTTGATTGCTTTGCAGGTTTTGTTCTGTTAATTAAAAAAGCATCAGGCTCCATGCTTTCTTGGAAGCAATATTTAGTGCTAGCTGTAAGCTCTGCATTGCCAATTAATAACTTTGGCTATGTTTCATAGTTTCCTGATGTAGGCTGGTAAATGCTTTGAATCTTCAGGCTTAATGTCATATCACAGTCATCAACTTTACAAATGTCATAATTCATTTCTATATTTTTATGTACACTTTGGGAGACCATGATTACCATATAGAAGACCCTGAATAAGTGTCATACAAATTTCTGATGGTACTCACAGGCCATTGGATTGAAGAAGTTTCCAGTGATTGAAATCATCTTGACATCACTTGTGCCATCCTTCAGCCTGTCTGCTTTATAAAGGTTGACTAAATAATTTAGCTTACCACACAATCTCACATGGGCATATCAATAGAGGTAATTTGTTGTGACTGCCTTAGTATACATAGAGTAGTTTGAGATGTAGAACATACACTCTGAAGCATTCCTCCATTGCTATTGAGCTTCTTAAGGCCAATAAACACATCATCTGAAGAGTAGTGAAAGCCAGCCCCCAGCTCCCATGGGCAGTAGAGAGAAGTAGCTGGTGGCACAGACAGAGGAGGTAGCCAACTAGGTTCATACCATGACTCTGCACCTACTAGCTGTGTAATCTCCGTAAGTTACCCATTTTCTGAGTTCCTCAGCCTCAGCATCTACAAAATGGGTATTCTAATAGTGCTTCCCTCACAGTATTTTTGGCAAGGATCAAATGCAATAATACATGCAAAATATTTAGAATGGTGCCTGGCATGTAATGAGCATTCATTAAATTTTAATTGCAATTTTTTGTTGTTATTATTATTTTGCCTAAATCATTTCTGAAATTCTCATGAGATTCCAGTCCAGCCAAATTCTGAATAGCATTATGTTAAACAGCAAGAAGTCACTAATGAGTATTAGAATCTAGCACTGGATTTGGGAAGTATGAGAATAGGATTCAAATCTTAGCTCTGGGAATGATAAGGTATAGAGGAGATAGAACCTATTCAATCTCCCTAAACATGGGTTTCCTTATCTGTCAAAAGCACCAAAGAGCTCTTTGTTCTACTTACCCTGCTCATGCTTAACCTATATGTGAGAGTGTTTTATAATTCAATGTGTCATCAACACGAAAGATATTGTAAATAATAGGAAAGTTTAGGGAAAATCCACATATGGAGGAGGTACATTTCCTACTTGCATGCATAAAAAGATATGTATTCAACAAAGGTCCTTATTTCTAGAGTGACACAGGTTTCTCTTGGTGGTCTTCATTGTGTTCCAGCTGCTGACATGAATCAAAGATGATTAAGTATGTTTCTTGGTGTGGACAAGTGGAAGGGGCTGGAACCCTTGTCCCCTTCCATGGGGTAACCCTCCACTCCAATTATATTTATTCCACAAATATGTACTGAACAAATCTTTGGCATCTCTAAAGACATGGCAGCATGTGTTCCACATTCTAGAGGAAAATCATTTGGAGATATCTCAGTACAAATTTCCACCCTGTTAATTAATCTAAGTAGGTATGGCATTTTCTTTAGGAATTCCATCATTAATAAGACCTTGCTCTAGTTTATCATGACCCAGGATAGTGTCTTGTATGCATTATTTAATATAACAAGCACATGAGGTCAGCAGCTACTCCTTAGGAAAACAAAACAAAACAGGCAAAGAAATAAACTCAGAAAAGTTACATGATTCAGTCAAGATCGTCAACTAATAAGTTAAAGAACCAAGACCCAAATGTTTACCATCCATCTTTAAATTCAGTCTTTGGGAGGCTGAGGTGGATACATCACTTGAGGTTAGGAGTTTGAGACCAACCTGGCCAACACGGTGAAACCCAGCCTCTACTAAAAATACAAAAATTAACTGGGTCTGGTGGCACACACCTGTAATCCCAGCTACTCGGGAGGCTGGGGCAGGAGAATCACTTGAACTCCGGAGGCAGAGATTGCAGTGAGCTGAGATCATGTCATTGAACTCCAACCTGGGCAATGGAGCAAGACTCCATCTCAAAAAAAAAAAATACAGTCTTATTCTCTTTCCCCACAGCTCCCTTGCCATTCCTTGAGGCCACAGTACAATGGCCAAAGTTGTCCCTTTAACTCTATAGGCTACTTCCCCCCTAGTTTGTAGAATTTTGGAGGTCGTCAGACAATCTATTATAACCAGTAAAGAAATGTCTTCTCCTCGGCAATGAAATTAAACCTGTTTCATTCTTTAAAATAATCTAGAGTTAACTTGTATTTAAATCTATCATTAAGCCCTTGGAAAAAGTCTGGTTATCTAAAATGACTTCTAAGACTGAGCCCATTTTAAGGAGGGAATGATTACTTCAGAGTAACTGCTCTCTGATTCTTTCAGATAAAACAAGAGGTTATGAGGACACAGACTGGGTTCTGCCAATGCCCTGCAACACTTCCTGGTTATCAGTAACGGAGCTCTTAGAAGATTCAACAAAGTGTCCTTCAATTTATGATGTTTTAAAATGGGGGAGCCTCAGGAGGTAATTCCCTATTTCTTCAACAAAAATAGTTCAAAGGCAGTCGATTGTTTTAAACATTAAGTGCTTTACTGTTAGTGCCTTATAATAACATTGTTCATAAAGGAGAATTATTAATTTTAAGAGTAACTGGGGCAATGGAAACTGCTTTTCTTTTTTAATATACACTTCCTTCTGTCTACACAGAAGGACCTACAATTGATCCTTGAACAATATAGGATTGAATTGTGGGGGTCCACGTATATGTGGATTTATGTTCATTAAAAGTTACACTGAGTGTGCCTGCCTCCCTTTCCACCTCCTCTACTTCTTCCACCTCTGCCGCCTCCAAGACAGTAAGACCAACCTTCTTCTCTTCCTTCTTCTCATCAGCTTACTCAACATGGAGACAACGAGGATGAAGACCTTTGTGATGATCCACCTGCACTTAATAAATAGTGAAGATATTTTCTCTAGCTTACGTTATTGAAAGAACATAATATATAATACCTATAACATAACAAAACATGTGTTAACCAATGGTTTATATTATTGGTAAGGCTTCCAGTTAGCAGTAGTAGACTGTTAGTAGTTAAGTTTTTAGAGCGTCACAAGTTATACTTGGATTTCTGACTGCAGGTCAGGGGAGTAGGGGGACCTGGTTCCCCTAACTCCTGCATTGTTCAAGGATATAATAGTTCATTCTCACATTGCTATAAAGAAGTACCTGAGACTGGCTAATTTATAAAGAAAAGAGGTTTAGTTGTCTCACAGTCAATTAAATCTCTTTTACAATGATGGCAAAAGACAAAGGAGAAGCAAGCACATCTTACCATGGTGGAGAGGAAAAAGAGAGCTAAGGGAGAAGTGCTACACACTTTTAAATAACCAGATCTCATGAGAACACACTCACTATCATGAGAACAGTAAGGAGGAAATCCACCCCCATGATTCAATCACCCCCCACCAGGTCTCCCGCAACACTGGAAATTACAACTTAACATGAGATTTTGGTGGGGACACAGAACCAAACCATATCAAGGGGTCAACTGCATTTACCTTCCATATGAGAAAATACTATACTTTCTATATCACTTCACTAGTGGTCATTCATTGCTATATTTGTTGTAATTATTTTGTATACATTATTTTGCAAGTACCATTTAAAATAAAAACACTTGACATTACTTAATGTGTTAGACCATTTTTGTGTCACTATAAAGAAATACCTGAAGCTGGGTAATTTATAAAGAAAATAGATTTGATTGGCTTATCGTTCTGCAGGCTGTAAAAGTGTGGCACCAGCATCTTCTTGGCTTCTGGTGAGGGCCTCAGGAAGCTTACAATCATGGCAGAAGGGGAAGAGGGCAGGAGGATCACATTGCAAGAGCAAGAGCAAGCATGGGGAACAACCAGCTCTTGTGTGAACTAACTGAGTGATAACTCAATCATCACCAAGGGGATGGTGCTAAACTACTCATGAGGGATCTGCCCTCATGATCCAATCACTTCCCACCGGGCTCCACCTCCAACATTGGGAATCACATTTCCACCTCAGATTTGGAGGGGACAAACACCCAAACCATATCAATTAGGGGGAAACTACAAATCTAAATCCACCCTTGGAGTCCTGGGAAATCTTTTGGATTTAATGGATTTTATTGATAGCTCTATTTATTTGTATAACCCTGGGCCTCTGTTTTACCTTTCTTTGCATCCCCTGTTCCTGGAACAATGCTTGGCACACGGTGATTTCATCAACAACAATGACAACTACCACCACAATGAAGGTTGTTGAATTCGATTTTCTTAATGTCTAGGTCTTAGCATAGCTGTCCCCTCCTTGGAGGCCTTTCCTGACCATTCCATGATCGAACTTCACTAAACTCTGACCAGAACATATGACCACATAATATTTTGTGATTATTTTGTATTCCTTGCTTGTCTTGCCCGTTCACTAGATTGTAAATTTCATAAGAGCAAGGACCTTGTCTTTCTTTCCAGACACTGATTCCCAGTCCCTAGAGCAGTGTTTGATGCAGAGTAGATGTTCAAGGAATCACGTGTCATTGCCAAGAAAGCTGGTGCCATCAGTAGAAATTATCAATGCTAGAAGAGTCTGTCCTATACTGGAGAGTTTAAATCTTTCAGCTCAGAACCCCAGGACCTTTGTCTCCATTCCACTTCACCCATCTACTCCCCGGGGCACACCCTGGCCAAGTCACTACCACTGTGCTTTCAAAATCTTGAACCCTTATCTTAGCTTCTATATGGACCTTGTATCCTTTTAGCATTCCTCATCTTATCTTGTGATCTTTGCTTTTGCTTTTCCTTTACTTAGTCAGTCCTTCTCCTTGACATCATGCCCTCCTAGCCTTGGGTTAAGCTCTGTGAACCAGACTTTCAATCACTTTAATATACACACGCATGCGCACACATAGAGCTTTTTTATTTCTTAGCTATGCCATGCCTGTCTGGAAAAACCCCTCTATCCAGTCTTATATGTAGGCCACCACACACTGTAAATGAAGTTCCAGAACTGCACAGACTGACAACATGATGTCAACGGGGTGAGAATTATCAGCAAAATCTTTTCCATGTCTCTAGTGGGTTCTGATTCCTGTTCTTCAGAAACAGTCACAGTGGCTAGCTTAAACCTTCATCATTGTCCTCAAGGCCCTGGGACACTTTCTTCCTCTTGTCCTCAACACCAATACTTGTCAGATACTCACAGAGGAAACAGAAGAACTGGCAGTTCCTTGAATGCCCCACACTCTCTTTGCCTCAGTGCCTTTGCACATATTCCTCTTGCCAGGAGCACACTGACTCTTTTTCTTCTAAAGTTACACCTAAGCCCCACAAAGTAATGGTTTCATTCCTAGATTGGATTATAACTCTCCTGAGGGTAGGAAGTGGATTT